GGTTTAGGGGTGGGGTTGGGGGTGGGGGTGCAAGTTGAGGACGCCGGGTTATGCATGTGGTAGGTGGGGGCCGTCCTCACAAGAGGAGGGCGGGTGTGCCGCGCGACGCCCGAGGGCCGCTGTGCCGGGGCAGCGAGGGGTGCACTGCGCATGGATACCCATATCTTGATGTCTAGCTCAGGCATTGGGCGGGGCTGTACAGGGATCAGGGTGTGGGAACTGCGGCAGCCCTGCCACACCGCGCTGCGGCCCTGTCGCTCCGCGCGGGCCCACCTGCAGCACGAAGCCGACGCGGCGCTTGGCCTGCTTCGAGAACTTGGCGCCGTTGACAGTCACGCGCCCAGAGGTGCGGACGGCCCTGGGGGAGGGGGAGAGCGCGGCAGAGGAGGGGAGGGCGTTGAGACGGCACAAAGCAGGGGGTTGGCCGGGTGGAGGAGCCAAACTGGGGTTCGCGTTCGTTCAGGCAGGCCACGACCTGTTGTGGACGGGTGATAAATTGCTGGCTGGGCGAACATAAATCCAGCGACCCATGGCGGCACGACAGGCAGCCCAAGTGTGGGCGTCGCGCTCACGCCTGTCCCCTGGACCCGCTTGAGAGGCTGCGCACCTGGGGGCACGGCCGCTGATGACCGACAGCAGGGAGGTCTTGCCGCTGCCGCTGGGGCCCCTGGGGACGAAAGAGGCAGGAGGGAAAGAGGATGGGGGGAACAGGAACGCGAGGGGAGCGATGAGGCACAAGGCATGTACACAGCCGCAGCAACCCCTGCACGTCTTCACAGAGGGCCGGTGTATCCCTGCAGCACGCAAGCCCCCGCGCTGTGCCTGCCAAGTACATACAGCACCCCAAATCGCGCAGTTGTCAGCCACATCCCCACAAACTCCAGCCTGTCAAGGTGCTGCTGTGAGCAGTGCTGCAGATGGCGAGCACACTCTCAGCTCCTCATCGGCCCCTCATCGGCCCTTCATCGCCCCCTCATGAGCGGCAGCTCCCCCCGCTCACATGAGGGCGAGGACCTCTCCAGGCAGGATCTCCCCCGTTACGCTGAACAGGATCTGGAAGAGGGGGAGGCGGCGGGGGCCCAGGCAAGCCCGTGCAATGCATGATGTCAATACAGGGGGGGGGGGTGCAGCGGTCAAGAGTGCCGCCGGGGACGACCCAGGCTGCTGTCCAGCAACAGTTTTGCCCCACCCTCAGTCATAGGCGCACCCCTGCTTTGACACGCACCGAGGCGCCTGCCGCCCCCAGTGACCCAGAGCAAGGGCCACTGGCAAGCCTCCAAGCCTTGGTCACAGCTCACATACAGCAGCCAACACCACGAGGCCCAGCTGCCCAGGAAAGCCGGCCTCCCTGGAATACCTTTTCCCATCAACACCCTACCCATCCCTTACACCTGCATGCTGTTGCAGAGGACGACGACACCCACACCCTGGATGCCTCAACCCTGACCCCTTTCCCCTCGCGGCCCTGGGCCCCACCTGTCGCTCCTCGGGCCCCTTCTCCCCGCCCTTGGCTGCCGTCCTGATCCTGTCGAGCACGCCTGGCGGCTGCAGGTTCGTCGACACGTAGGCTGAGATGCGGCTGTACCGCAGTGTCAGCTGCTGGTCGTCGTCGATGGACGCCATCAGGTCGGGCCGCGCCTTGGGGCTCGCGCCCGCGCCGCCGTCGGATGCGGTGGCGGCGGCCGGAGCCCCGGCCGGGCCGGCGAGGCTCTGGGGCGGCGGGAGGGGGAGCTCCGAGGAGGCGTAGGAGACGAGGGGCTCGGGCGGCCCGAGGTTGACGACGAATTCAGCAGAGCCGCGTGCGTGGCGCTCGGCGGCGGACGCCTCTACGCTGGGCCGCTGCCGGGCGCGTGGGTCCGACATTGCGGACGGGGCGGCTCCTGTGGCCGTTGATGTGTTCGGCGTCAACGCCCCCGGGGCCGTGCGGGCGCCTCTGTCGTCGCCTCGCGTTGTGTGAGTCAAGGGTGTGCACGCTGTAGGATGGGCTGGCGCTCAAGACGGTTGCCGCAATCAAACCGCCTGCTACTGGGTTGACGCCTGCCTGACGCAGGCGGGCCCACACTCGGAATGTGCTGCGTGCTGAGGCGGCGCAACGTGGCGCCTGTGCTTCCTGCGACACGCAGCATGGTTCGGCATAGTCTAATTACAATCACGACATCTTGTGACGAGACTTGTGCATCGTAGGCTGACCCTGGGTGCTGTGTGGCCGATGATGAAGCAGTCCGCCCCCGCGGGCCTCGCCTACCTGAACAAGCCAGCAAAAGCGTTGAAGTCTATGTATAATCCTCGATAGCGATGCTGCTGGAGGCTGATGTGCCAATTGCTAGTGATGACAATCAATTTGCTCGCCCTGCGCTTCGCAATATGGCAGGCGGTGTGGCAAAAGCGGGGAAATCGGTTTGCTATGCTGAATGAAAATGCCACTCGCCGCTTGTACAGCCTGCCCAGTGTTGCGCGTCTTTTCCCGCCCTTCGCCGCCTGCTCGATGCTGACACGACTCACCCTGGGTCTGCAGCAGCTTCTTGGCAATGACGGCAGGAAGCAGCAGGACGTCGTGTCGCGAGGAGCGTCATCGGCGTGCTCGGTTGTCCCGTGGTGCTGCTTATTATTATTTTATGCACACGGGCACCATTTGCGCTCAAGTTGCAGGGCGTGGGACCCGAGGGCACCCACGGACGGGGCCCCACGTCAGAGTTTGTGGAGGATTGGTTGTGAACTGGCTTGGCTTCCACCATCGAGGTACTGTGGGCACTATGCGGCCCAGCGTGCCAAGCTCACAAGTTCCGGGCCAACGGCTGAGGCAAGTGGTAGTGAATCAAGGGGCCTTTCAGCCCAAGACCTCAGGTCCAGGGGCAGCCCCCACCAAACCCCTTAGCAGCTGGTGGGGTTCACAGGGGAGTCCCCTGTGCAACCGGTTGCAACTGATGACATCACCCTGAAACTGATTGCAGCCCATGCACAGCCGATTGCACCACCCTGTAACTGATCGCCGCAGCACCGCAAGCACCCCACGCCCCGCAGCAGGCGCCGCTGACGCCCGCGCGTGCAATCAAGTGCGTGCTGTGCCTGACAGGCACGCCCCGCCCATTGCACATTGCAGCGCCTGCAATGAACACAGTACCACACCCCTTGCGCGCCGCTGAGTTCCGTGAGAACCGCATGCCAGCTGACTGTGTGTGTCATGTCACTTCGACTGCACTTTAGTAGCGCCTTCGCTGAGCTTAGCCACTTCCTCTGCGCTTGGAGCTGTAGGTGCTATCAAGATCAGGTAATGTAAACGTGCTGGGTTCGCCCCCAGTGGCAAGTTTGGGCGAGGCACAGGCATTTGCACCTCCGGCTCTCGCTGGGCTGTGCACTGCTCAGGCCCTTACGGTGATGAATATTGGTACATACTGCCTCAAGCAGACGACGCGCACACGCATAGCGCTGGGCCCCTCGACGCTTCGAGCAGCTCATCCAGGCCTTCTCGACCAACCCTGCCCGTTTGTTGCGCTGCATCCTTTCCCTAAAGGCTGCAGGAGGCTGAGCGCTAAATATTGCTTCCTTGTTGCCAGGTGAGGTCACAGACTGGGTCCTGCATGACAGCACTGTGGTGCGGTCCGGGTGTGCTCTTCCGGGTGTCCATGCAGGGTGTCCATGCAGGGAGCTCTCGTCCCAGGCGTGCACAATTTGAGAGCGTGCAACTGGTTGTATTTACTGCAGGCCAGCACAATCACAAGTGCCCACATCAAGATATGTCTTCTAGGGCCGGCCTACTGCGGAAGGTGCCGCGCCTGTTTCCAGATGACACTGGCAGACGCGCTCAGGCGACAAACCTGGTGTTGAACCTTGAAGAAGATATTGCAGCTGTGTTTCTAGACTGGGATGATAATGAACTGCGGGCTACTATATTGGAGAGATTAGGTAAGGCCAGGACCAGGCATGCTACCTTGCCAGCCGTGCCCAGTTCGCCTCATCACCAGACTGCGTGCGCTGGCGCTGCTCGCTCGTATGCTGCTGCGGCTGCTCTTCCACTCTCCCCCTTCCCCTCGTTCACGCCACGTGCTGTGTTCTGTCACCCACCGACTTCCAATCCTTGTGCGCCTGCGCTGCCGCTGGCCACTTCGCATTGTCACCACTCCACCCTTCGCTGTTATCCCGGCACGGGATTAGGTGAGCATCATGTGCATTGTACAATCCGCATTTCACAATCCATATCACTACCTGGATGGGGCTTGGACTTCACGGGGTTGGCCACAACAGACGTTGCTGGTTGGGGTGGATGGGGACGACGATCAGTGCCAACTTGCCTAAGACCCACTTGCACCTTGCAAGCACAGGCAATGCCGTGCGCCCTGCTGCATTGTGGGCGCATTTTGCAGCAAGCACGCTTATCTGTGCCTACTTTTCCGCATCCACATCACTGATTGTCCCTGCCGACGCCGCCCGCATACCCGCTGCCCTGCATCCCTCCTCGTCCCACCTCGTCCTTCCCACATGCTGTGCTCCATCACATGTTCCTTTCCTCACACCCTTCCTTTTCATTGCATTTGCCATCGTGGCTTTCGCCTGGGGCTCTGCAAATGACCCACCGCAGCAGGTGAGATGCCGCAGGGTTTACGATGGTGCTTGTGGCAAGCCTGCTGACCCTGCACCCCCAGCCGCGCCTTGTCGAGCAGCCGTGAAAGCGTCTCCGTGGAGGCACTGCACCATACTCGGCGGGTTGTTCCCCGAGCTCGCCACCTGTAAGCCTGCGCTGACGCTGCTCGCACGCGGCTGCAACCCTCCCCCCTCGCACTCCCTCTCCCCCCTCCACCTTCCCACACACTGTGCTCTGTCACCTGCTGGCTTTGGTTTTTCAACTGTGTCGGTCCTTCACCCCAGCACCCCTGAAACGTATCCCTCCCATGTGCACAACAGGCGGGCGCGTGTTCTACGACGACGTCATACTGGACATTTTTGGCGGCGACGGCGATGAAGAGGAGGAGGTCATAAAATTTGACCGAGTGAGCGCTGCCACACTTGAGAGGGTGTTGGACAGGCGGGGCTGCGAGCTGGTGCAGGACCCAACCAGCAAGGATTGGGTGGGGTTTGATTGCATCAAGCTGCAAGACAACATCCTGCTCAAGGCTCTGCGAGAGTTCATCCCCTTGGACCGACGGGTGAGTCCTTTGCCGGTGTGAAAGGTTGCGCACCTCCAGCAGACCAGCACTGAGGACTTTCCAGTCTGGTTAACACCATTTCCTGCTATTTTGCAGCCTGTTAGTTTGCAGCAGCCAGCTCAGAAGCACATCACCTACAAATGTCAGCCTGTGCTTTGCCTGATTTCTATGGCGACGCTGTTGGTAGCCAGCTGGTGGTCAGTTGGGCATCCACGGCAGATGGCATTGTTGCAGTGCTACGCCATGATGGCTGGCTCACACACAATACATTGCACCACGCAGGTCTCATTGTTGGAGGGGTTTGTCGAGTCGTCCGTGAATGCGTTTGAGGCAAATGCAACCGAGGCGGTTTGCACACTCCTGAAGGAGCAGCACGGGGACGCGCAGGTGCTGCCCATCAGGGAGATCACGAGCGCCGATGGCCAGATGCGGGAGGTGGACGGTGTGGTGGTAGCTGGCGGCTGCGCTGCCATCGTGGAAGCTGAGCAGGTGGTGGATGCCAAGGCTGTGTCCCAGCTTACTTCATGCCTGGACTTCATGAGGTAAGCCATGCGCGCTCTGATGCTCTTTGCCCCATCAGGAGGCGGGACACCTTTTTGTTGGGACGCTTTGCAGATCGGGTTACTGGCCGGGGCATCTGGGTTTTCAACTGTGCAAACACTGCATGTTGGCAGCGCCTTGTTGCTTTGTTGCAGAAGCTGTTGGGGCATGTAATTGAGAACACTCCTTCATGCTTGCTCTGACCATCCCACATTGCTTTCAATCATGCGTCAAGCACCTCTTGTTACCCTGTTGCGACCGCCTGTGTGCACCGCAGGGAAAAGGAGCTGACTGGTGGCGCTGCACAGCTCAAGGGCAAAGAGCTGCGCGGGTTCCTGGCTGGGAGGACCGTCATCAGCGACCCTGTGCAGCTCAAGTTGCTGCAGAGCAGGTGTGAGGAGCACGGCTACCGGATCATGGTGACGAGCGGCAGGGCTCTGAGCCCAGGCAACAGCAGGGTGCCCCAGCTGAGGGTGGAGTGCGCCATCCGCAGGAGGATGTGCAGCAGGACCGCCTGTGCTCTACGTGTGTCTCTGTAAGGCCTAGTTCTTCGTTTCAATGGCACCATGTGTGTGATGTCGGTTCACCCTTGGCTTGCGGCTGGTGCACATCAGAGGGCCGTAGCATGGGAGTGATGACAGCCGGAAGACAGAATCACGAAAATAAACACATTGCGCAACGGCCAGGGAAAATGATGAACGCTGAGGGCACGCATGAACCTAACCACGCATGCGCAAGGGGCAGCCAGGCTCAAGCAGAATGCCAAGCCAAAGGAAACCGGTCCTTGGGGAAGAGTGCACAAAACGCAAAGGGGTAAAGGTTGACTGGGTGCCCTTGTCCTTTCCTTGCATGGATCGGACGGTGCCGGGGACAAGGAGTCTTTGGATGTTTCATGGGGAGTTACAGGGTGATGTAATCAGTTGGATCATGATCATCATCATTACTCTTATGCCATAGCATCGCAGTTGCAACCGATTGCACAGAGGACCCCCCTCTGACTCGCACCAGCTGCTGAGGGGTTTGGTGGGGCCGACCCCTGGACCTGTGAGGTCTTGGGCTGAAAGCCCCCTTGATGTACTACTGAGGCAATGCTGGACTGGCTGGCAAACAAGATGCACGTCCGGGGCCCTGCTGCCCCACCCTGCCGCCTCGCGCGACTGCACGACATGATACAGGAGCAGTGACTGTGCTCGCGGTAACGAGCTGGATGAGCGCAGGGCGCCGCTCAGGTCGTGCCGTCGGCATGCACCATGCTGGATGTGCATGTGATACGCACCATGCCCCTCACACAAGCGAACACAGACGCGCACATTAGGAACTCAAACACCTGTTTCTGTCATAACCACATGACTAGTGCACAGGACTAGTGCGGTGGCCACTGTACTTGGCTGACGTTGGGTGTGGCCAGATGGCACTCATGTATGGCGATGCCCGTTCTCACCCTGCGCGAGGCGGGCGCTTGCAGCGCCGGCAGCAATGTGGCGTCCAGCTTCTGTCGATTTACAGTGTTTAAGGGGCCTACTCGAATGGGCGAGCTATTCTGCTTGTTTTTGTTTTTGTCGTGAGCGATGCACATGTGACAGTGACCATCCAGACCCAGTACACTTGCACCAGAGCCAGCAAACGGGGTCAGGGCCAGTGACATCTTACGAAATTCAGCGGTGCAGCAAACACGTGAGGGGCGGCAGACTGTGGAACAGCGTCGTGTTGCTAGACACGTGTCAAGGCGTGCAGCTGGGGCAGCGCACAAGGTGCGTGTAACGTGAGTCGACCACGACAGATGAAACGTCGGGAGCTCGACGCTTCTGCAGGTTTTGGCAAGGCGTTGTTGGCAAGGAACGGTTCACTTGCTTTACGAGGCGTACTTGGAGCTTGGTGATAGTCAAAGGCTACACACACAGCCTCGCCAAGACATCAGATCGTAAGCAGGTGGCTTGCCTACATGATCTTATGTCAGCTGCCAGTCCCCTTGCAGCAGGTCAGCCAGGGCTACTGGCCCAGGGTGAGCCGCAGTCCACAATTTGCAGGCCCTTCCTCAAGGTGCGGTCAGGGGCCAGTCCGTGAAGTTCTTGGCGTCGTCGTCGGGGCTGCCGCCGTACCAGGTGGAGGCGTCTGCCCCGCCATAGTTGAGGGGGGCGGAGGCCTTGATGAGCTCCGGCAAGTTGGCGTTGGCCACATACAGCACGCTGCAGGGAGGAGTGGTGCGTGTGGGTGCGTGCATGCGTGTGTGGGCGCACATACGTATGTATACGTGTGTGTGTCTGTGTGTGTGTGTGTGCGCACAAGCGCGCACGTGTGCATACGCAAGCTTATGTGTGCGCACACCTAAGTGTGCATGCACTTGCATGCGTTATGTGTGCGCACACTTAGGTGTGTGCGCACACTTAAGTGTGCGCACACATAACGCATGCGAGTGCGTGCAGTCCTGAGACTTAAAAAAAAGGTTATGCAGGTACAACACAGCAGATCCAAGACAAAATTTGGCACCTTTGAGTCTAGCTCAACAGAGCTGTACACAGGAAAGACTTACCCAAAAAAGGCAAAATTTGCAGTGCCATCAGCAACGTAGGCGGCGGTCTGCAGCAGGTGGATCACAGCGTTGCAGTGGATGCAGCACACACGACATGTCAGCTGACGCGCTGTCCTATCGCCACTCACGGTGCCTGCAGCGCAGGTAATAACTGTTTTGATGGTCCAGTCCGCCCAAACTTTGCCCCAAGGTCATGCGTGCGCCGTGGCAGACCCCCTCCTCCGCAAGCACGGCCGCAGCGCACTGGCTGCGCATGCACCCCCCGTGTGGCCCAGTAGCCCGCTCTCCTACCTGCTGGGGCTGCAGGCCGCCGTTGACGGCCAGCACCCCGCTGTAGCGCTCCCTGAAGTACTTGAAGGGGTCCACCTTGAAGTTGGGCTCAGGCAGGCCGGCAAACCTGGGGACCAAGCCAAAGAGTCGGGGTGACGGCGAGCAAGGCTCAGGCGCTGCGACGCGTCAAGGCGTCTTGGAGAGCTCCATCACTCTTCAAGGAGCCTCGAATCTGTCCCGTCAACCTGGATCATCCCCAGACCCGGCTGCACCCACAACCAATTGCCCCGTCTCCTGTCTACCCCTCATTGGACGCCCACGCACCCTTTGCTGCTTGCGGCCCTGCCCACATCCAACGTCCTTTGCCATCCCTCTCTGCTGCCACACTATTTAGTGGTAGGAAGCAGCGACAGGCCATCCCGTGTCAATTACGGGTATGCCCAAACCCCAAACCCCGAGCACGCATGTCTTTTCCCCTCACTTGTAGTACGGGTCCCCGTTGAGTGACGACAGGCAGACGTATGCCAGCTGCCTCTGCGCCAGCTGCGGGCCCAGGTAGTCCAGCTGGGCCAGTGCGTCGTCCTCCGGCTCTACCAGGTCGCTGAACGTCACGCCCTGGGAGGGCGGGGGGGGGGGGGGGGGCGATGCGGCCAGAGGGGAGCGGGTGCATTGCTGGTTGTGGCATGGGCAGGTGCGCATGGTCGAAGGCTGGGGATGGGGCCTGGGGGGCTCGAGTAGGGGGCGGTCGGATCAGCGAGGATTGCTGTAGCTCGAATGAGAGGCCTCAAAAAACCGTGCCCAATCCTCCCGTGGTTCAGGCCGCCCGACAAACGCCCCAATACCTTGCCCGTGTTACCCACGCCTCGCATGCGCCCTTCGCCCCGTTCACCCCTGCTTGCCTGCTGCAGCTTGATCCCCACGCGGTCCGCCCCGATCGCGTCGACGCACGCGTCCACAATCTCCAGCACCAGCCTGGCGCGGTTCTCCACAGAGGCCCCACCGTAGTCGTCGTCCCGCGTGTTGGTCTTCTGCGCCAGGAACGACTGCAGCAGGTAGCCATTGCCTGTTGCCGGGGTGGGCAGCGGGTTTTGGGGAGCCCGGGGGGGGGGGGTCCAATGACAAGCTGGGAAGCCTCGTGTGCCGTGTTGCATGTGGGACGAGACAGTCTTGAGAGAAGGTGGCATGCGACACCACACGCAGAAGTTTTCACTTGCAGCGGTGCTGCACCGGGCCTGATGCAGTTAACCTCCAGGGCGCCGCACCCACCCGCGTGCAGCTCGATCCCGTCGAATCCGGCCTCCACTGCCCTCTCAGCCGCTGCCCTGAAGTCTGCCACGACTCCCTTGATCTGGCCTAGCGTCAACTCAGCGGGCACCTCGTAAGGTTGCTGCAATTTTTGGCAAGCGAGGCAAGGCACGGTGAGCGAGTGTTCTGCTGCAACAGGCAGGGGTCAACAGGGATCAGATGCGGGCCTCGAACAGGTGGTGGTCGACGGATTGACCCACCCGAAACGGGTTGCAACCCCACCCCGTCCCAGCCTCCGCAAAAAATATGGCCATGCCACCGCACTGCTGCTCGCACCTTGCCAGATGGCGTCCTGATGAGCCCCGAAATCCCGGTGGGGGACGCACTGACAGGGCCCCCGGGGCCAGTGATGGACGAGTGGGTCACGCGGCCCGCGTGGAAGAGCTGGCTGAAGATTGCGCCCCCCTTCGAGTGCACCGCTGATGTCACCAGCTTCCAGCCCGCCAGGTGGGAGGGCTCGTACATGTTCGGGGCGCTGCAGGCAGGGGGCGCAACATGGGGGTCCAAGGGCGAGGGCGTGGCAACACGAGCTGTTGGAGAATGCTTGCAGGCCTACTCAAGTGCAGGCTGACAGAAGTGCGTGTGAGTGCACATGAGTGTGCCTGGATACAAACACTCGTGCCGACCATGCCACATTCTCTGGTCAAGGTGGGCGGCGTGCACATGTGGGTGCAGCAGGCAAGCCCTCACAGACACCGAAGCTCCACAACATTACAAACATCCAGGCGTGATGTCGTGCGTTCCAGGCGCTGCCGCCTGAAGCCCACCGCATGTAACCACGGCCAGTGGGTGACACTGCAGTGGCTGTGGCGCAAAGAAGTTTTGTGGGGGTGTGACCTCAGTGCTGTGCGGCTGTGCGAACAGGCACTCAAGCGCGCCGGTCAGCTGGCGCGACAGGCGTAGTGCAGCCGGGCGTGGCGGCCTAGTTTGCCAGTCACGCTGGGTCGCGCAACGCTCAACAACAAACCTTCTGAAACAACCAGCCCCCCAGGGCTGGCGCGCTGCGCGTAGTACGTTGCGTTAAGCTCGCGCGGCGCCCATGTCGTAGGGTCACAGCGGAGCCGGGTCATGGCCGACAGAGCAACCCGGTGCTGCAGCTCCACACGGCCCACACGCAGGGGCTCAAACAGTGCCAATGCAGACATGCTTGAGGTTGGGAGAGGGGAGGTTGCAAGAATCTGACTTTTCATCCAAGACCTGCGGTGGTGCTTTGTTATCTTTCGAAGCGTTGGGAGCGGCACAAGCGCCCCCATGTGCTGCAGGACTGGCCTCCCGCCATCGGGACTGTGGCTGGGTGGCCGTACTAGGACTATTGCGATCCTCTCACCTGATGTTTGTGTGACACCCAACGCAACAAGATGCAGTGCGCACGCTACTACGACCACGACAGTCTGCGAATCGTGATCTCGCGCAAAAGGACCTGGGGACAACCACAAGCACCTGCTATCGCAGAAGGCATTCAATGAGTGCCAGTAAGTAGCCATGTACCCATCATTGAAGCACAGCCGAGATGGAACGACAGTCGTCATCCTTCAAAACCCAGCAGTAATCCATCAAGCTGTCGAGGCGCGCGCAGCGTGCGGCATTCGGGACAGACCAGCATCTTGCAATACGCTGCACAAGGTGCCCAAATGAACATCCGCAGGCCGTTCGACAGTAGAATTCCCAGCAGCACAGTTGCAAGCCACACATGATATGTCAGCAAGCATGTTGCCTGTGCGCGTGCATGTCGCCCGTGCGCGTGCGCGCACATGCACGCACATGCACGCACATGCACGCACGTGCACGCACATGCACGCACATGCACGCACATGCACGCACATGCACGCACGCACGCACGCACACACGCGCGTGGGCGCGCACTCACACAGTGCCCCTTGTCAGGGGCTGTCGTTCACCCGGGTGCCCGCCCCAAGTAACCGTTTGGTCTGCTCAGCCTGACCGACAATTGCGACTTGCCGCCTCGCTTTTCGTCGGCTCACTCACACGTTGGCCTTGCTCAGACCCTTAATGCCAGCCAGGCCCTGCCCCCACCACAGAAGGGGCCCAACTGGTGAGGGACGTGTTGGGCACATCTTGCCGACTCCCAAGTGCGATTACTTCCCTAATCTGCTGCTGCTGCTGCTGCTGCTGCTGCTGCTGCTGTTGCTGTTGCCGCAATGCTTGATGTTTACAGGTACCGTATACACGATTGGTTCGTGCAGGCATCCATGTATGCAACACACTTGCGGGCGCCGCATCGGCAGGGGGCGCGCGCCCTCCCTCGGATCAGTGCCGCACCGTGAGCATGAGGAGCACGTAGCAATTCCAGAGGGAGTGGCACAGCACACTGGGCGCAAGGTTGTTGGTGCGCACAAAGAGGCCCCCAAACACGAGCCCCAGGACCAGCAGCGGCGCAAACGTGTCGGCGCGGAAATGGCAGAGCGCAAACAGCAGCGAGCTCACCAGCGCGGCCCAGCGGGTGCCCATCTGGCGCGCAAGGGAGGCCAGCAGGAAGCCGCGGAAGACCGCCTCTTCCCACAGCGGCGCGCACACGCTGACGACGGCGAGGTACGCGGCGCCCGTCACCCAGTCCCCGCCACCCAGGCTGGCCTCCAGCTGCGCGCACCACACGTGCGCGCCGTACCCCTCTGCCGCCCCGCCCGCCGCGCCGCACCAGAGGCCCCAGCTCTGCGCGGACAGCCACTCCACCAGCGGGAACGTCAGCGCCCCCGCCGCCACCCAGCCCAGCCACCGCCCGCCCGCCCAGCGCAGCGGGAACAGCCCGCGCGCTCGCGGCTGGTAGCGGCGCAGGCAGCGGGCCAGGATGGCCAGCGTGGCGGCCAGCTGCACCGCGTCCATCGCCAGGTGCAGCAGCGCGGTGGCCCTGTAGCCCAGCTCCTCGTACTCCAGCCCGGCCAGGCCCAGGCCCAGGGGCACCACCACCTGGCCCAGGCCCACGTAGGCCAGCAGCCAGAGGCCCATGACCTGGGGGGGCAGAGGGAGAGGGGAGGGGGCGATGTGAGGGGGCGGGCGCGAACAGCAGGGAGGGGCAGGAATCAGGACGCCAGGGGAGCTGGCAGCTGTAGCTTGGGCATGCACTGACCGGTGCAAGGGGCACCCCAGCGCATTCATGGGTAGAAGCAGCCCAAGTGAGGGGGGGGGGGGCGTTGCATAATCCGCAGCTCGCAGCGCCGTGCAAGCCCCACCTGGAAGATCTTGCCCCAGCCCCAGGGGACCTCAGCAATGCCGCCGCCCTCGCCAGGGCCCGCGGGGACGATCCCTGTCGCGCTGCTGCCGCCGCTACCTTCGCTGCCGCTGCCGCTGAGCACAAGGGCCCCTCCGCTGATGTTGCCGTCCATGCTGACAAGCACCTCGGCGCCGCCCATGTCGCCGCTGCCGCCACTGCTGCTGGCTTGCGAACTGCCAGGCTGTCTCCTGGCTGCCGCATGGCCGCGGTCGCCGTCACTGCTGCTGCTGCTGCTGCTGCTGTTGCTGTTGCTGTAGCTGCTCACATCTACCCGGTCACCAGCAGTGCTCGCGGCCATGCTGGTTTCCTCTCTGCTGCTGCTACTGGGACGTGAGGTGACGCCCTTGATGGTGCTGCTATTGCTAATGCTGCCGCTACTGTTGATGCTGGTGCTGTTGCTAGTGCTCAGAGGCACCTGGCGCATGAAGGACGGCCAAAATGGAGGGGGCGGCACAACGCAGGCACGAGCGGCACGTGCGTCAGCTTAACAGCAGTTGCACCCTGGACGCCGGCGAAGACGGCGTGAGAAGCCCGCTGCGCCCGCTGACTGTTGACTGCTGGTGTCGTCCGCAGCCTGCCTTGTTTCTGCACACGCTTGCATGACACCAAAAACCAGTACACCATGCCTTCATGCGCCACCCTCACCTGCCCGCTGCTGCTGGGCCCTTCCGCACAGTCGCATCCTTCCACTGCTGGGCTCGCTGGCACCGGCTGCGGCCAGCAATCCTCCTCGCCCTCGCCGCTCGGCGTCGCCGCGCTACTGCGGCACTGGCGCCATTCCGGGCGACACCGGCCGCGCTCTGGCAGGGCAGGAGGCGCACGCCGGAGGCATGGCCTGCAGGCCGCCTGACGGTTCAAGTAGACGCCCGCGTGCCCTCCTCCACGCAGGGCTGCAGCCATCGCGGCGCGGGCGGGGCGCGCTGAGCCCGCACAATGCGGCTGCAGCTCGGCGTGGACTCCGCTGCACGCTGCAGGGCTCAAGTGCTAGCAGGGCGGGGCATCCCACAACTAGGGGTTGCGAGGAAAATGCTTTGAATGCGAAAGTCGCAGGCTGATTTTGGAGGAGAGGGCCAGCGCCCTGGCACAGAGCTAGCAATCGCACTTGAAGCGCGGCGTCTACGGGGAGGGCAAGACCTTGTAAGCGGAATCAATCAAGAAGTATCACATTATCTATTGTTGCATACAAACGGCGGCGCAAGCGAGGAGGTGTAACTCGCTCGAACACCCAACCACAACGTTCGTTAGCACGACATCACCGTTCCGTGATGACAATTCAACACGTTTTCGAGCCTTTTCCTTGGTCACGCGCGCTCTCACCAAGCGTCAGATCGGTGTGCGATCGAGCGCGCGCTTTCACGTTCACGGCTGCACAGCCATGACCTGCGTGATAAAAGAAGTGGATGAGAACTCGTTCGATGCCGACGTCTTCGAGAAGCAGCTCGGTCTTGCGTTGATCCGGGAGCATGAGGGTGACGCGCAGAAGCTCCTCGAGGCGGTGCTAGACTTCCTCAAGCGCAAGAGCAACTTTTTTAATCAGGGAGACGCCAAGAGGCGGCTGCTGGACGCCTACCGCACCGTGACAGGCGAGGTGGAGCACCCCTCCGCCGGCCTTAAGGCCGGCTTCCTTGCCAGCACAAGCGGCGCCGCTGCCAAGCCCGCTGGCGTCACCACGGAGCAGGTGCCCCTGACTGCAGTGGCCATGCGGGGGGTGCTTAATTGTGGACATGCATCGTGGACATGCATCAGGACTGGCAATTCGTTTGCAATGTAGCATGGGCCATGGCGCGTCAAGGCACGGGGTTGGCATGCGGACGAGGACCCTGTGGCCACTCCCTGCATGCCTCAATACGGCAGGTTGTGCAGCAGCCCGGCAGCAGCAGCAGTGGCGCGGGCGCAGGCCCCTCTCCCACGCAGCAGGAACAGCAGCAGGACCAGGCGGAGCTGGAGGTGCAGCACGACCTCAACCAGCAGCCGCAGGCGGGGCCAGCGGCTGAACAGGCCGCTGCTGCAGCCGCCCCTGACACACCCGCCGAGGCCACCACTGCGCCGTCTGCGCCGTCCCCCGACGTGGTGGGAGATGAGGACGAGGAGGGCGAGGGCAAGCCGGACCAAAACAAGGGCCTGAGTAAGCGCCTGAATGGACAGCGCGCTGCCCAGTGGATGAGGGTTGCGCGGTTTGCGTGCTTGCGATGTTGCAGCTCAGTTCTAGCTGGCACAGCTGTGGTGCAGCATGCACAAAGCTGCGTCTGGCATTGATGAGGCTGCGGGTGTCTTTGTTATTGGCACGCCCTTCGCTTGGTGCAGCTGCTCGCATGTTGCATTCGCCGCACTTTCCGACGCCCCCACCCCGTCATGCCTCGGCTCCCGCAGAGCCCAACGCAGGCCGTGGCGCTGACATGGAGTGCTACAGCTGGACTCAGACTCTCAGCGAAGTCACAGTGGTGGTGCCTGTGCCGCCCGGCACCAAGGGTCGCTCGCTGGACGTGCTCATTGCCAAGCAGCGCCTCCGCGTTGGCGTCAAAGGCCAGCCCGCCATCGTCGACGTGAGCGCAAGACAGCGCAAGCTGCTGTCTGGGCTGCCTTGGCTGCAGCCTTGCCCCCCATGCAGCGGAACTGGCTAACTTTTATGTGTTTAGTGCGCATCGGAAAGCACTCTCACAGCAATGTCGTGCCAAGCAGCCTGGTGCTGTCGTCGCACATGCGCTTCGGCCGGCCTTTTCCTCAGCTCCCACCTCCCCCCCTCCCCCAGGGCAAGCTGTCGGAGGCGGTCAAGGCGGACGACTGCCTGTGGAACCTGGTGGACAACTGCGTGGAGCTGACGCTGACCAAGGCCGAGGGCATGCATTGGTGGCGCAGCGTGCTGGAGGGGGACGCGCAGATTGACACACAGCAGGTGGAGCCGGAGAACAGCAAGCTGGAGGAGCTCGACCCTGAGACCAGGAAGACGGTCGAAAAGATGATGGTGGGCGCACCGCCAGGGGGGACGGAATTTGGATCTGTAACCTACAGCGTGTATGCGCGGGCACGTGTGTACACACCCTGTCCGTGGCCTCAACATGCATGTGAGTGGTCAACACATGCATGCGCTCCCCAGTTGAGAGCTTCCCCATATGCACACCGAACAAGCACGTGCTGCGCATTTCCCCCTAGCCCACCTTTTTCTCCCCCCATGCGCCCCCCACCTTCCTGGCCCGCATGTGCCCCGTCGCCGCCGCTGACGTCGCAGTTTGACCAGCGCCAGAAAGCCATGGGCCTGCCGACCAGCGATGAGATGCAGAAGGAGGACATGCTCAAGCGCTTCATGGTGCGCAGGGTCATGCTTATGTCTAAGGGGGATCTTAGCCGACCTGAGGTTTTGCTTCGAAGGTGTCCTGGCATCGAATCAACATGCTCAGTTGTGAGAGCCCGGACACATAACATACCCGTGCGTTTGGCAATGCTGCAACTGCTTCCCTTGAACCGGCTTGGAATGGTCGTCATGCTGACCTCGCATCCATAGCAAGAGGCCCGAGCCTGTATGGGCCCCCACACCCACGGCACGCATCCGCTGTCCCCAGCCTGCTAACTCACGCCACACGACCCCTACATGGCAGGCGGCTCACCCCGAGATGGACTTTTCCAATGCCAAGATTCAAATGTGAGGATGCTGGATCGAGCAGTCACATCGTTGCTGTATGTAACGCTCACAAATTAATTTTCTTCTGGAAACAATTGATCAGCACAGGCGAGTGAGTGAAGATTGTAGCGGCTGACAAAGATCAAGCCTCAGCGGTCATTTCATGCCCCTCCAGGAGGCAGGCACTTCAGGGGGTGACTGATGTGTTGACATTCTCGGCAGAGACTCTTGCCACCAGTTCAGTTATGTCGCGGGGCTCAGGCATGCACTAGCAAAGATGAGTTGTCAGAGCTTTCAGTTGCAACACACAGGACCAGTGACGGGAGCTTTTTGCAGCACGGCAGCTGTTTGCATCGCGGCAGCTGTTTGCAAGTGTTGCAGCGGCAAAGGAATGTGCCGCATGAGTGTACCGTAAGCGAACGCATGCCCGCCACATTGTTGACCTGTCCGTTTCATGGTTGAGCCCATGCTTGCCATGCGCAGGCGTCTGTACACAGAGCGGGTGCCCTCGTAGATCACTTGGTGCAGACGCGGCCTCCATGAGGTGCCATCAGGTGTGGTTATTATTGGGCATTAGACAGCAAGCCGATACACGCGGGTATGGCGACGCGCTGTGCGCCACTATTCGGCAGCACGATTGCAGCTAGACCAGCGTGCTGCTACGTATGCAATCCAGCTCATTTGATCAGCAGGCTTGGCAGTGGTTTGTTCCACGGAATGCGCACGTCGCATGCGTGACAAGCAGCATAAGCGGCGAGAGCGCACAATTTGGCGGCAGGGTCAGCACAGGCGCCGGCAACTGTGGCGCCTCCCTCGTCCATCACCCGCTCGCGCAGAGGCCCGCTCCCCTCTCATGAGCAAGTCCAACAAGGGCGCGCAGCTGAGAGTCACTTCCGAGGCCGAGGCCGCAGAGCAGCGCGCCAGCAAGGCGCGGTGGCTGTCGAGGCTCTTTGAAGACCCAGCGTCAGTGGCGTCGCAAACGGCGGCCGCCTACGCGGAGCTGCTAGACGAGGCACTGCTAGACGTGGGTGCTTGCGGAAACTCGAATGCATAGATAGGCACATGGGAAGCAGCAGCCGCATGCGTCGAAGCCATGCGCCTGTGCTTTGTCCACAGCATGGCTGCTGCAAAGCGGTTGCCTGCTTGTCCCCTGGAGCTCCAGCGCCCCCTTCCCACACCTTGGCGCCCCTCCCACCCCTCTTATCGCCCTGCCGCCCGTCGCAGGTCGCAGTCGAGGCGCACCGAGAGGCCAAGCTGGGGCTTGCGCCCGATCCGCCGCCGCCGCCTCATGCGCCCCCGCGGCCGCTCGACCCGCTACCTGGCGCAAAGGGCCCCACCGACGTGTTTGGCCAGGCGCACCCGCCCTCCGCCATGGAGCAGATCACGTGCATGAAGTGCGGCCGCAAGGTGGCGGCCGGGCGCTTCGCCCCGCACCTGGAAAAGTGCCTTGGCGGCGGCCGGCAGTCGAGCCGGCACGCGACTCGCCGGGGCGCAGGCTGATGTGGCCAGGGCCTCGCTCCCGGGCAACCTCTGCCGCCGCCGCCGCCCAAAGCAGCCCTCCGCTGCCAGTTCTGGCGTGAGGCAGGTCAAACCCGATCTGCACTTCCTCGGGAGCCTGCGCGCTGCGCTGGGGGCGCGTCCGCGCCTTTGTCCCCTCATACGCAACCCTGAATGCCGCTGAAAAGCAAACTCAGCTCGCTCATCCACACATTTACAGCCGGTCGCCCCTACCCCTCCTGCATTTTAGCCTAGCCCCAGGATAGAAAAACGCTGTGCTTAAGGCCTTAATCACAGCAAGCAACCCAAGTGCAAGGCTTGGGCAGAGTAGTGGCGCGAACTGGAAGTGCGCTGTGAAACGGTTCATGAGTAATCGACTGTCTCGACTGCTCCGTGGGTGCCTGGTGTGAGTGTCAGGGTGCGCATGCCAGCGTTTAGGGTAGGTCAAGTATAATACACACGCAGCGCGGCGCAGTGAGGGCGCCGCCTGTGTTGATGGTGGGCAGGTACAGCGTGTGCTCGAAGGGCACTGCCTATGCCAGCGCGTTGCGCGAGTGCCGACGCCAAAGCCATCAACTTTGCAGGGAACGACGTAATCAAACGCCTTGAACAGCTAGGTACATAGGCCACGACTGAACTTGGAAACTGCTGCGAGGGGGCGCGGGGCACCGCAGCAAAGGGCTCCAGTGCCAGCACCACTGGGGCCGCGCATCGCAGGGTGTGCCCGGGAGCAGGTGCACTCTTTTCGACGTGCCTGCTGCCACATGAACTCGCACCAGCATGATCAGCAAAAAGACGCCCAGGCATGAGCGGTGATCAACGTCTGCACCAAGCATGCTGCACCACGCGGCGCTCTCTCGCTCGTCCTAGACCATGTGTTGCGCCCTCGGACGCCCCGCGATGCACTGCTACTTCTGTGGCAAGCGCGTATGGCGCCGCCCGGATCAATAAATTGCTCGACACACAGCCCCCCACGCGGCTCCCTACATCCCACGCCCAAAGTCGCCGTGCGCCGCCGCCTCGTCCACGCTTGCCAGCCACCATGGTCGGCAGTCGCAGCCGTACGCCAGCTCATGGCCCGCCGCATCCCAAGCACCGGCCCCAACCCCACCGCCGCCCATCGACGAATGCAGCGCCGTGCGGCCGGGCGTCGAGGGCCGCTCCTCGTAGGCACGGCCCGCCCGCGCACCCTCGACGCCGCCTGCCTCCCGCTTTGCTTGCCCCGCCGCCGGCGAGGTCGCGCGCGACGCTGCAGGGCTGTTGTCGCCGCCTTGCGCCGCGAGACGCGGCGACGCGCAGAGCTCAACAGCCCACTGCTCCGTGAGCTCCTGCGCGCGCGCCACCACCTCGCGCCCCAGCGGCCTGCTCATCCTGAACTGCAGCGGGTCCACGTTGGCCGCGGCCTCAAAGAGGTTGAGAACACGCACCCCACTGCGCAGGGTGTGGTGGAAGCCGGCCTGGTGGTGGTGGGGGGTGGGATGGGGCGCGTTTTGGGTTTTGGAGTCGGGTGGGGTGGGGTGCAAGGGACAATGCGGGTG